TTTAGGATGTGTGTAGAATAACTTTAGGATCTGTATGAATCATTTCTTTATATCTGACCATTTTGCTTTTCAATCTACTGCCTTTAGTCTGCATCATCTGTTTTTTTTATATATATATCTCTTCTTAAAGATATTCTCAGTTTTTATAATTCATTGTGTAAAAACTGTAAATCTCATGAGTAGTTAAATTAGTTTTTGTCTGCAAATGTGTTATATGGCTGTCGCCTCAAATAAACTGAGTAAATGTGCTGTTAATGTGACCCATTAATTTTCTAACCACGTATATCTCTCTGTTCATTGTGGGTTAAAACCTCCAGAGCTCTGCTGCTGCTGTTCACCACATCCTCACCAATCACTTCCTCTTCAGTACATAGAAAAACACTTCAGAGGTTAAACTGGAAACCAGCAGGTTTTAAAATTAAAATATAATCTTACCAGTGTGACTGATGAATTAGACATTTGATCTGCTGCTCTTCATCAACACAGATCAGATCTCCTGGATTTATCTGACTGATTCTCCAGGTTTCTAAAACATCTAAACAAAAGAAGAAGTCCATTTCTCACATTTAGAAATATTTACACACCGATCTTCTTCCTCTTTTGTTGACTTCTTGCATGTCACTGTCTGTAACGTCCTATAATCAGCCTGAACAAAAAGCTCTGACAATGTTTAAGTTTATATTTTCTACTACAGCTCTTTCCTTGAAATGTGGATGTTCTTGTTAAAAGAATTACAAGTCAAAGTTGTAACTAATAGATGTTTTTACCAAATAAAACAGCAAGTCGACCATCAGTCAGAGTGAGGAAGTGGTGAGTGTCAGGAAGTAGAAGCTACATGTGTGTTCAGGAGGCAGTCAGACAGTTCTGAGGGTGAGAGCAACAGACGCACGATGGCTCAACTCAGATGGATTCAAGGGTTTTTATTAATGATCCTGCAGCTCACAGGTAGGAAGACTGAAAACCTTTGCATAGAGCTATAAATGATAGATCTGCTTTATTCACAGTGTCTGCACAGATTAAATATTTCTGGCTCAGTTTTATCTTCTAACAGTCACTGCATGGATCTTCAGTGCTTCAGGAAGCAGAGCATCAGTCAGATTTATCAGAATGACATCACTAAAGCAGACAGACTGATTCTATCAGCTGGTTATAAAGAAGGAGCAGATTTTACCAGGTGGGAACAATTCATGATGTTCCAGGCTTTCTGCTTGAAAGGTAAGGTAATCCAATATAACAGTGAAGTTTATTTTGCTGCTTTGTTCAAAATAAATAAATAAATAAAATAAGAGGGAGACGGGTAGTTTGTTAGCCTATATTGGATGAGCTTGGATGCAACAGTTATTAGCTGCTGTAAGATATCACTCCACCGATTCCTTAGTAGATCCACTGATCTCTATTCATTTACTGGATTGTCGAAAGGCGGTAAGCTTTACATGGTGCTATGAAGTCACGAGCTGCCATATTGGTACTGACTAGCTAGACCGGTCGAAAGGTAAACAATACGTGCACTACAGTATCGAACAAAAATGATTTTCTAATTTTCATGGGGGTAAAGTTATCACTTTTTTACACATGCTATTTCATAGCATCAGTAGATTACTGTCGTTTAAGGCAGTGATTCCCAACTGGGGAAAATGCGTCCCCCTGTTGGTCCGTGAGTGCATTGCAATGGGTACATGAAAATATTTTATTTGTTAGGTCATAGAAAAATAGGGCCGGGATTTGTTTTGTTTTGTAAAGACCCAATAGAAAATAAAGAAGCTTTGATCAACCAAAAAGTAAATTTTTTTATATGTTTGAGTTCACCTTCAGATTTGAAGCACATTAAAACCAAACGGATGGACAGACTGGAAATAGACAACAGCCTGGAATCAGCTGTTATTCACACTGACCTATTGGAGCTGATCAAAGAAAACTCAGCTGTCTTGATGAAAACAAATTAAAACTAATTAAGTAAAGTTAAAATACTTATTTTATAATCAGTTGTTGTATGTTCCACTTTTATATCATCAATATTTTTGACTGAGAGGGGAACTCATGATAAGACAAAGTGCCCAAAGGTGAACACAAGTCAAAATAAGTTGGGAAACACTGATCTAAAGTAAGAAATAGGCACACCACATTGCATATTCAGTATGAGGTCCATGAAGTCTATAAATCATGTAATATAACATATCATGCACATCATCACAAAAAAATAAATGTGTTAATAGAGCATAATAATACTGTTAGATATTAGAAATTGTAGAGGCTCTAGACTGTTAGTTGTAATAAATTTAGTAAGCCTCTAGATGGTGATAAATCTTACACACTGTCATTTTAAGAGTGAATTTTAACATTTATTAAATACATTTTGATGCAATTTGAATTAAAAATATGTTATACAACAATATGTGGAAAACATTACAGTAATGAAGGTAAATTGTCTGATTTAGTGTCTGACAGTTTCTGCTATTATCAGTTGTTAAAAATTTTTATATCTTATCATTTTATTTCAAGTTACAGGCATTTGGCCAAGGAATGTAAAGTATTGTTCTAAATGAGGAGAGCAAATATTTCTCTCATTGCCTGGTATTATTCAGCTATGCAGCCGTAGGTGACTGATAATTTCTGACCCCTCCTGATAACATCAGACCCCTCCTGGTAACTTTTGACCACTCCTGTAATTCCTTTGAAGTCCAATAATAAAAGCAGCAGAAAAGAGAGGTTTGGGCAGAGTTGAGTACAGACTTTTCAAGGGGTCTCACCCTTGGTCTGTCCTCTCTCTCTCTTTTCTGCAGAAAGGAAAGAATAATTGCTTTGTTTGGTTTTCATTTCTAGGATAATAAGTGGTTATGATTATTAACCTTATCAGCCTGGTGCCGTGACCCGGATCCCAACATTTCCACTTGTTGACGAGAGGAGCAACGCTGAAAACCACCGGTGGTCAGAGTCAAGAACCCGATGAGAAAGTCCCAGGGGGTAATTTCCTAACTGGGCCAGCGTCATAGGTTACCTCCTTTCGCCAGCGAGGGATTGATGGGATCCGACCGGGAGAAGACCAACCAAACCAAGTAGGTGCTAAGACG